GCTGACCTAATTTTATGGGTTTACGACTACTGATGTTCAACTCCGTAGCCTTGTAATTTTGAACCCAATCCAGAAGAGAAGGGAACTCCTGGTTCGAGCATTGGGAGAAATTTGTCTTCGTGGAGGACTTTTTGATCGAGCTAAAGCGCATTTGCGTTACATGGAGAGGAAGACCACGAGAACCTTCCACGGTTAACCTGGCGGCAAGGGGACTCAAATCCATGATCCGTTTACTACTGAGGATATTTCACGTCAGCACTGTGGTTGGTGCAAGCCGGATGCTGAATTCGTATCGACTGGGATTTGAACCCGGTTTGCCTTAGTGTAAGGCGAATGCCCTATCGCTCTATCCCATCGCGGCTCATTTAAACATCTTCAATCAAATCATCTCTATCCAAAGAAAACCATGTAACTTAAATATCTGACAGAATGAACCCTGGTCAGCTCATTGGAAGGCAAACGCTCTATTACCCTGAGCCATCACGGCTCAGTAGAAGTTTATTGTACATTTCTATATAATCATTACCTATGACTTTTTTTTATTTCATGTTAAAAGCAGGTAAAATAAAAGTAGATATTTTTCACAGAAAATGATATGACGTCACCAATTTGGTATTTTGAGATCTATGAGAAAGTATGAATTTCAAGTTTATAAAGGAAAAATGACCGATTTTTAAAATTATATTGCTATGAAAGAGCTTGAAAAAATTGTTGCGAAGTTAATTCCGCAATTTCACTGCCAAAAACGGTCGGTTGCTGACGATCATTGCCTGTGACGTCATTGTACGTAAAGCATTCTAGCAAGTACCTACTATCAGTGTTGTTTACATCTACACACACACACACACACATCTTTGTCAATACAGGTTTATTATAAATTTAGTGATGGAGCAATTCAGTTAAGTTCATTCCAAAGCAGAATATAAATTTAAGATATGGATCATATTCATTATTCGATCTCATTTAAAATTCTAAAATATTGAGAACATGCAGTTTTTAAAAATGAATAAGCATGAAAAAATCATAGATATTTAGTTAATAATTTTTAATAATTAATAATTTAGTTAATAATTTGTAACAAACCTGACATTTCAAATTATTGAAATTCAGAAAAACTGAATAATTTTAAAAAATATTAAAATTCGATTTGATGTAGACTAAGCACTCAGTTAGCAAACTGAACTAATGAATAAATAAATATTTTCATGAAACTTACTGTTGTAATAAACATGACATAATAAAACAGCATCTAGCTTCATCAACTAAACATAGAACATTCGAAATATCTGCTTATATTTCTTTACCTACAGCTTTTAAAAAAGAGAGCAGATATTGCATCAATTTGCTAAAAGTGGTAATATTTAGTTAGGCAAAAACAATTTTTAGTTCCTTTTCAGCCAGTCTCTTTAAAATTAAGATTAGTAAACTTTGTTTATTTTCGCTTGTTTTTAGCATTTTGTGCACAGGGAGACTTCGGCCGCCAAGGATCGAACTCACGACATCTTCGACATGGGCCCAACGCCTATGCTATCCAGCCAACCAAGCTATCCTGGTCAGGCTATTGCTCTACATATATCAAGGAAACAGATTACTGACTAGTCGATTAAACTATTATTTTATATTTTACAGCTAAAATGAAAATATTACAATTTGTTGCCTTTTTTGCCAAAACAGTTGATGTAAAATATCTAAGTATTAATTTAAGGTCTAATGCGTAGTCTGTTACCTAAGTTGAGCTTTGATGAGTAACGCAAGAATGAAGAAAAAAAATAAATTTCATTAAAGCTATGTGATTTTGAAAAGAAGTTGATTTTGGGTCTTTTTTGAAAAGTCCTCCCACATTGTCAACAAATTTTTTCCTTCATATTTTTTGTATTTATACCACGCTTTAGAGTATAATACACAGATAAATTCAAATAAAAAACAGTCCCGTAGTGGACTGATCGTAAAGACACTGTTCTCAGTTGAACACCGAAGTCAAGCATCACTGGCTGATGTCAGTAAGCAACGGGTGACCATTTTGATCAGCTGCGCTGGAACCGAGGATAGGCGGTATCGGTCCTCGTTAAACTGTTCTACCGTGCTCGACTTCGCGAGCAGGACGTAGGGTCACCATAGCATGAGAGCCATCCCCTCTGCAGAGGATCAAAAGTGCGATGGCATGTCTTCGGATCATCCTCAGTTGTCATCCTCAGGCGATGTTTCCCAGACCATCGCCAATAATCCATTGTGCAGATGTAGTGCGACGTAAATAAGGTACCAACCAAATAGAAACATTTCTAAGTTTAAAAATGTCAAAATTTTGCCTCCGAAGGTATTCGGATACATTACTGTTGCTGTAGTTCATTTACGTCACACTAGAGCTGCACAATGGGCTATCGGCGACCGTCTGGGAAATATTCCTGAGGATGATCCGAAAACAAGTCATCACAAATTTGATCCTCTGCAGAGGGGATGGCACCCCTACTTCGGTAGCCCAACCACCTGCACACGAAATCGAGCACTTTGAACAGTTTAACGAGGACCCATACCGCTCACCCTCGGTCCCTAAGCAAACTGATCCAAGTGG